CATCTCCTGCTATAACGCTCTGAATCGTCTTGTTTCCTCCTCAGGGCTGCAATCTGTTCTTTCATTGTCTTCACTGTGTCATCTGTTCCTTTCCATTGGATTATCAGCCCTTTCATATCTTCTTGCACTCTTGCAATCTCAGCTGTATTTTTGATTACCATTTCTTCAAACTTTGAAAAGCGATCATTTAGGCCGTTAATGGCTTTAAGAATGTCAGCATTGGAGACCGTCTCATGTTCTTTGGTGCATACTTGGGGTTTGGGCTGTCCATGGGTGTGACAGGTAGAGGTGTACATAAACCAGAGAATGATTTTTCAGGAGATACATCCATTATCAAGCCTCCTGTTTTTCACATTCTTGGTGTCTCTCTTGGACATCTTGGCACACGTACCCCAGTTATTAGCAAAACCTTGGCTAATAGCAAACAGTTCGTAGGCTAGTTCACTCACTTTGGCCGATTAAAGTCTTGTTTAGCTGTGTAGGCGTTCTACATACAAACTTAAATACAAAAGCAACTTACAGCTTCTTCACTCAGGATTCAAATGGTCTCATTGGCTTATTTTAACCGCTGGTACTCGGACAGAGACTCGTAGCTCAGAAGAAAGTGTCTGCACAGGTCGCCTTGTACATGTCAAATAATGTATTAAACAACCAAACAACTTAAAGCCGTTGCTTTTGGGAGAGAAAGAAAAGCAAAGACACAGGAGACACCTTCACCACATGCACATCTATGCCTGCAACTCTCAACTGGGGTTTCCTACCCCAGAATGCAGGGCATGTCTCTTGCAGTATCAAAATACAAGGTTGATCTTTCAAAAAATAAGAGTTCGATACAAACCAGCTTTACTGAGTTTGAATCAGAGGGTAGAACAAATAATATTTACAACAAATACAACTGTTTGATTATGTCCTCTCCTTTAGGTTTGCAATATCAAAGTAATAAACTGAAAATGCAGGTTACAGTGCTGGTAAACAGAGCTGTTGTTGACAAACATTTTGTCCCGCCTTCAGAATTCCAGCCACACTCCTGGGATTTATTCTGCATTTCTACTACTTCCTTGTATGATTTAGAATAATAAGTTGAAAAATTGGTCTATTCTTTGCAGCTACTAAGTGGCAGGATGGAGTAGAAAACAAACTTACTGTACCTTTCTCAAGTTATACAGTAATGTAATCATATATGTGTGAAGGTGGACCAAACATAGCCAATCTTAAAATGGTAGATAGGGTAGAGCAGGAGCCTAGAAGGCCTATTTATTTTTATTCTTTACACACATTACAAAGATTGTTAAATGTTCTCCACTTGTTATCCTGTAGTTACACAGGAATATTAGGGGTGCGGGCTGTATTAAAAGTATCTGTTATTCCATGCTTTATAATCACACAGGTAACAATAGGGTATGTGCTGTTCTCCTATTCTTTATCTGTATTTATACATACATACAGATTTAATACATACATACACATTTAACAAATACATAAAATTCAGCTTAACAATAACTTAACAGTTATTGTTTTTTCCTAGTCACCATTATTAGCTTCAGCCTATAGCATTTTACACTGCATAAATTAGCCTAGCGGCTATTTGACTTTTCCTCTCCTCATAGCTTAACAACTTACAGTACATGTTTTATTCATACTATTTAGTACTTACCGCTGGTTAAGTCACTACATCTCGACACAACACCATGGTTGAATTTTCAGCCTGGATGGAAGTTTTATTTAAACACAACAGCTAAAAAGTAGCAGAGCAACAAGTAACTCCGTGTCGGTGCATTTACTATAAAGGCTGGAATGTGTGACCACTCCAAATTTAGCTGCGGCTAGCTGACCAAGTGGTTCTCACGAACAACAGCTCCCTTTACCGCAGTTCTGTGTCCATGTATGTCACTAATACTGGTAGTATTGAGTTCTATTAGAGTTGCTAAAGGCCTCATGTCCCTGAAGGAAGCCATCTCTTGTGACAGAGTTAGAAGCAAGGTTAGTTGATGTGTGCATGTAGAGTCAACCTCTGTCATCTGACTGGTCCACCAATAGGTGAGAAGTTGACACCTTGAGAAGCCGCCCCCTTCATTTGCATTATGAGAAACGGAAAAAGAGACAGAAATAAATACCGTTCAGGAAATAAATTGGCTAGAAAATGCAAAGGAAGAATAAAACGGACAAATTTTAATTACTTCACTTCCATGGCCACAGGTGTATAAAATCAAGCACCTAGGGATGCAGACTGCTTCTACAAACATTTGTGAAAGAATGGGTCGCTCTCGGGAGCTAACACCAGTCATAGGTTGCCACCAGTGCAATAAGTCCATTCGTGAAATTTCCTCACTACTAAATATTCCACAGTCAACTCTTAGTGGTGTTATACAGTGAGGAAAATAAGTATTTGAACACCCTGCTATTTTGCAAGTTCTCCCACTTAGAAATCATGGAGGGGTCTGAAATTGTCATCGTAGGTGCATGTCCACTGTGAGAGACATAATCTAAAAAAAAAAAAATCCAGAAATCACAATGTATGATTTTTTAACTATTTATTTGTATGATACAGCTGCAAATAAGTATTTGAACACCTGTCTATCTGCTAGAATTCTGACTCTCAAAGACCTGTTAGTCTGCCTTCAAAATGTCCACCTCCACTCCATTTATTATCCTAAATTAGATGCACCTGTTTGAGGTCGTTAGCTGCATAAAGACACCTGTCCACCCCATACAATCAGTAAGAATCCAACTACTAACATGGCCAAGACCAAAGAGCTGTCCAAAGACACTAGAGACAAAATTGTACACCTCCACTGGGCTGGAAAGGGCTACGGGGAAATTGCTTAGCAGCTTGGTGAAAAAAGGTCCACTGTTGGAGCAATCATTAGAAAATGGAAGAAGCTAAACATGACTGTCAATCTCCCTCGGACTGGGGCTCCATGCAAGATCTCACCTCGTGGGGTCTCAATGATCCTAAGAAAGGTGAGAAATCAGCCCAGAACTACACGGGAGGAGCTGGTCAATGACCTGAAAAGAGCTGGGACCACCGTTTCCAAGGTTACTGTTGGTAATACACTAAGACGTCATGGTTTGAAATCACGCATGGCACGGAAGGTTCCCCTGCTTAAACCAGCAAATGTCAGTGTGTGCAAACCTGGTGGAAAACTACAGGAAACGTTTGACCTCTGTAATTGCAAACAAAGGCTACTGTACCAAATATTAACATTGATTTTCTCAGGTGTTCAAATACTTATTTGCAGCTGTATCATACAAATAAATAGTTAAAAAATCATACATTGTGATTTCTGGATTTTTTTTTTTTAGATTATATCTCAGTGGACATGCACCTACGATGACAATTTCAGACCCCTCCATGATTTCTAAGTGGGAGAACTTGCAAAATAGCAGGGTATTCAAATACTTATTTTCCTCACTGTAACAAAGTGGAAGCGATTGGGAACAACAAAAACTCAGCCACCAAGTGGTAGGCCACCAAGTGCAATGCAAAGCTTCGGATGCAGTGTTGTAAAGCACGCCGCCACTGGACACTAGAGCAGCGGAGACGTGTTCTCAGGAGTGACAAATCATGTTTCTCTGTCTGGGAATCCGGTGGATGAGTCTGGGTTTGGCAGTTGAAGGAGAACGGTACTTGCCTGACTGCATTGTGCCAAGTGTAAAGTTTGGTGGAGGGGGGATTATGGTGTGGGGTTGTCTTTCAGGGGTTGGGCTTGGCCCCTTAGTTCTAGTGAAAGGAACCGTTACTGCTTCAGCATACCAAGACATTTTTGGACAATTTCATGCTCCCAACTTTGTGGAAACAGTTTGGGGATGGCCCCTTCCTGTTCCACCATGACTGCGCACCAGTGCACAAAGCAAGGCCCATAAAGATACGGATCAGTGAGTTTGGTGTGGAGGAACTTGACTGGCCTGCACAGAGTCCTGACCCTAACCTGATAGAACACCTTTGGGATGAATTAGAGCGAGCCAGGCCTTCTCGTTCAACATCTGTGCCTGACCTCACAAATGCGCTTCTCAAAGAATGGTTAAAAATTCCCATGAACACACTAAACCTTGTAGACAGCATTCCCAGAAGAGCTGAAGCTGTTATAGCTGCAGAGGGTGGGCCAACTCTATATTAAACCCTACGGATTAAGAATGGGATGTCTTTAACCTTGATGTTCATGGCCCAGAGTGCTGCTGCAGCTTTCAGGTATGAGCAAGTTAGCGGCTTGGTGCTAATTAAAGTTACACATTGCTAAGCAACTGACCATTCGTTTTTCCACATGTACCACGGGTCCATCAGGTACATTTACATACGGCTGCAACAGACGCACATACCAGCGATCGTAACAGAGCAGAAGGGGCTTTCAAAATAGCCAGCATAGCCAACATTAGCACTGCAGTACGATGTTCCACAAAAAGCAATATACAACATATTACTCTTCTTATTTAACTGGCTTCAAATGAGGCTCAAAGTCCACACAATTTCTCTTTACTGTCCCTTAATATTGAAAAGTCCAACATTGCTCCAGAGTGTGTATAGCTGCTAGCCACATTAGCCTTGGAGGGTGCTAGAGCAAAGTTTAACAAGCTGAAATGCAAAATAAACAGTAAAGCAACCTAAAAATGCCAAACTTACAGGTTCCAAGTTTGAAGTTGGTATTGATTCATCATTGCGCTTTAGTTTTGAAGCTTATACTGGTTTGTAATGAGATGGTCCTCTTGAAGTTAGTGCAGTTTTCCATGAGTGAAGGATATGGTAAAAAAAAAAAAAGGTGCTGATTGGCAAAAACAAGCCCTACCATAGTTCTACTAGGTTGTCAAGAACTCCACAGTGAAAGTGTAAAGTCTCACAACCTCAAATGTGAATGATTTTACGCATTATATGCATTATTTGCAGTGCCTTATATCCTGTGTACAATACCATACCACCAAAAACATTACAGCTATTGACACCGACCTCATGCTGACATTATGAGCAGAATTTCTATATGTAAAATTAGTCTAATATACAGTCATACCTCTCTCTAAGGCGATGAGGAACTCGCGGTTGCGTTGCAGCTCTCTCATAAACTCCTCATTCTGCAGGAACAAGGCGATGCGCTCGTCTTCCAGATACTGCTTCAGTTTCTTGTCTTGCTCTACAACTCCCGTCGTCAAACCTGGATCTCCAGTGTTCCCTGCAGCTCCAGACTGAGAACCAGTCTGGGCTGTCCATTGGCTTATTGAAGAAACTGAGGAGGAGGATGATGATGAAGGCTGGGATAGACTGCTCTGAGAGCTCATCTGTTGTAAAGATAGGACAGGTTATTGATTATAATGTCAATTCACATGGTTTGATTAGAGATCATTTAAAGTCGTCACAGCTGTTTGTATTACTATTACCTACTACTACCTTGCAGTATTTATGCTAGATTAGGCTAATAAGCTGCATGAAGTCAAACATACAACAGCAAAAATGTTAAGAATGCATTAATAGTAAGGAAGTAGCTAAAACACTAATACGGTAATTTAACCTCCTAATACATCAAAGGAGCCATCTCATTCATATGTTTTAATTTATAAAAATATATGAATGAAATAATAGTGCCCGCCGGGGGCAGCCCAGTGGGCAACAACAATCTCTCATGACATCAAACTTAAAGACAATTGAGGGCGAAAACCGCCCTCTAACCTCCCAGAGCTCTTAGCTTAGTTTTTGCCATGGGGCCACAAAGAAAATAAGGAGCATTCTCAAAACTGGCCAGGTCTTAGAGGTGCAAGCTAATCACCAAACTGACAGCCAAGCAGCACAGCAGAAGAACATTCTCCCCACTCAGAGAGCTGAGCCCAGCTTACCCTCTGATAGACAGGTGATAGATAGCCCAATAAGTGGCCTAAGTAATTGATCGAGCCTGTCAACCCACACTAAAGGTCATTCCCTATCAGTGTTTGATAAGGCAGGATAACCATGTTTATATGTTTTGCAATCAATTCTTGACAGTTTTCCTCCACAGTGGCACCAAATGTAGCTCATGGATACCACACACACACACACACACACACACACACAGGTCATATAATTAGAATATCATCAAAAAGTTGATTTCAGTAATTCCATTCAAAAAGTGAAACTTGTATAATGTATACATTCATTCCACACAGACTGATATATTTCAAGTGTTCATTCCTTTTATTTTTGATGACTATAACTGACAAATAATGAAAACCCCAAAATCAGTATCTCAGAAAATCAGAATATTGTGAAAAGGTTCATTTTTGAAGATACTTGGTGCCACATTCTAATCAGCTAATTAACTCAGAACACCTGCAAAAGCCTTTAAATGGTCTCTCAGTCTAGTTCTGTAGACTACACAATCATGGGGAAGACGTGTCCAAAAGACGACCATTGACACCTTGCACAAGGAGGGCAAGACACAAAAGGTCATTGCTAAAGAGGCTGGCTGTTCACAGAGCTCTGTGTCCAAGCACATTAATGGAGAGGCGAAGGGAAGGAAAAGATGTAGTAGAAAAAAGTGTACAAGAAATAGGGATAACTGCACCCTGGAGAGGATTGTGAAACAAAACCCATTCTAAAATGTGGGGGAGATTCACAAAGAGTGGACTGCAGCTGGAGTCAGTGCTTCAAGAACCACCACGCACAGACGTATGCAAGACATGGGTTTCAGCTGTTGCATTCCTTGTGTCAAGCCACCCTTGAACAAGACACAGCGTCAGAAGTGTCTCGCCTGGGCTAAAGACAAAAAGGACTGGACTGCTGCTGAGTGGTCCAAAGTTATGTTCTCTGATGAAAGTAAATTTTGCATTTCCTTTGGAAATCAAGATCCCAGAGTCTGGAGGAAGAGAGGAGAGGCACAGAATCCACGTTGCTTGAAGTCCAGTGTAAATTTTCCACAGTCAGTGATGGTTTGGGGTGCCATGTCATCTGCTGGTGTTGGTCCACTGTGTTTTCTGAGGTTCAAGGTCAACGCAGCCGTCTACCAGGAAGTTTTAGAGCACTTCATGCTTCCTGCTGCTGACCAACTTTATGGAGATGCAGATTTCATTTTCCAACAGGACTTGGCTCCTGCACACAGTGCCAAAGCTACCAGTACCTGGTTTAAGGACCATGGTATCCCTGTTCTTAATTGGCCAGCAAACTCGCCTGACCTCAACCCTATAGAAAATCTATGGGGTATTGTGAAGAGGAAGATGCGATACGCCAGACCCAACAATGCAGAAGAGCTGAAGTCCACTATCAGAGCAACCTGGGCTCTCATAACGCCTGAGCAGTGCCACAGACTGATGGACTCCATGCCACGCCGCATTGCTGCAGTAATTCAGGCAAAAGGAGCCCCAACTAAGTATTGAGTGCTGTACATGCTCATACTTTTCAGTTGGCCAACATTTCTAAAAATCCTTTTTTTTGTATTGGTCTTAATATTCTAATTTTCAGAGATACTGAATTTGGGATTTTCATTAGTTGTCAGTTTTAATCATCAATTAATGAAATAAACATTTGAAATATCTCAGTCTGTGTGTAATGACTGAATATAATATCAAAGTTTCACTTTTTGAATGGAATTACTGAAATAAATGAACTTTGATGATATTCTAATTATATGACCAGCACCTGTATATAAGCCATGGGATGATTGGGCCAAGAACTTGCAACAGACAAAAGTTTATAGCAGTAGGCTATAAAAGGTATTCGGTGAAATATAAAAAAATTTATTCCAGATTCAACAGAATTAATTTAGTCTTATGTACTTTGGTATTCATGTCACATAGCGACAAGTGCAGTGATGATTGCTGGGTAATATGTAAATGAATGGCCAATCTTAAGTTTCTATTTGATCATGTGACAAGATGACAAGACTCCAGAAATCAAGTGAAACGCAAAATCTGACAAGTAGACTAGCAGAGCAAACGTGAAAGCTAGAAGCCATGCTATTCACACATAAAAGCTGTTTCAAGAAGAAGAGAGAAAAGAACAGGAGGAGAGGGTCACAAAGCTCCCAGATAAGATTGTTTTGGATTACTGAGGACATTGTTAAAGATTTTGCTCAATGCAGGCTCGTTGGATGCCTTTCAAATAGGTGAGTAACTTGTAGGGGTGGGAGAAATAATCGATTCTTAGATGCATTGCGATGCAGATGTGGAAGATTATGAATCGATTAACAAATGTCTAAAAATCGATTATTTAAATGTTAATTGATAACGTAATGTTGACGGAACGCAAAAGACGGAACTCGCGGAAATGCAGCGCTCAGACCGTCTGTGGAGCGCGCACAACAGAGAGACCAGTGTTCCCCTGTATTCGCCACCGCTGCGGAATGAATAACCACCCTACTAAAATGTTACACAATCATTAATATCAGTGCACAAGACCAAATGTGGGAGACCAACACCGACACTATCATCAAGAAGGCCCAGCAGAGGTCCTGCGCCAGCTCAGGAAGCTCAACCTGCCTAAGGAGCTGCTGATCCACTTCTACACAGCCATCATCCAGTCTGCAATGACAGCACTGGCCATGCTCCTTATAACTTTCTCTTTGATTTCTGTACTTTGCAAATACAAAAGTCTAGGCGACACAGTCGGACTGTAAAATCCATCACATGATGGTACTTGCTGCGTCTAGGCGCACGCAACACAGCCGCAGCAGCGTGTGTGTGTGTTGGAGAGAGACACACACAAAGAGAAAAAATAAATCAATTTAAGAAGCTTTAAATTAGATATCTACTGAATCTAATCTTATCAGTTGTTAAACCGTAGTAAAATGAGGAAACAAGACACATAAATTTGCCAATATAGGGTTCCCTACTAGACACCAATGCATTGTAACGGTGTAGCCCAAGGGCCCATCATAACAGCCTGCACTGGGGGCCACTGGCCTTGAATCAAAATTATAAAGTTACTGTTTAAGGCAGGTCACTTTTTCCATGTAGTGGTTAATTTTGAGATTTTGGTCTATTTTGCTTCGATGTCTTCTTTTACTCTAATGGTAAGAAAGCTTACATAAAACACATTTAGATGGTGTTGGTTTTAAGCCTACTATACTCCATCTGTTTGCATCTGTAGATTTCTTCTAAATTAACCAAAACAAGCTAATCTGCACATTTAAAAACCATTTCAGCGGAAACATTCTTAACGTTAGTCATTAACTGAGGAAGTCCTGTGGTGATGTGCTTTAGTTTTTTTTTGTTTGTTGTTTTGTTTGTTACATTCAGTAACAGTCCCAGCTCATTTTTGGTCCATGCAAAATAAAATCTGGCGTGGTTCTTCATCTGTATTTCCTTATTCTTTTACCAAGTCATCTGTAACTACGGAATAGACCATCTGCTTCATGTTTATACCAGCATGCACATACCCGGTGTACGTCAAAGGCCACTAGTTGTGTGTTTTCAGTCATTTTAAAGCAGAGGGAGATCAACTCTGATACACAGCTAAAACGCTGGTGTGGACGTCGATTGTATTAGTTTTAAAACTCCATTTTTAAACAAAAACACTCTGCCCCCCCCCCCATCACCATACTCAACAGTCCTGTGTCTGCTGTGGAATCCTACAGGTTTCTGGGATCCACTATATCCCTGGACCTAATGTGGGAGACCAACACCATCATCAAGAAGGCCCAGCAGAGGATGTACTTCCTGCGCCAGCTCAGGAAGCTCAACCTGCCTAAGGAGCTGCTGATCCACTTCTACACAGCCATCATCCAGTCTGTCCTCTGCACCTCCATCACTGTCTGGTTTGGCCACCAAAAAGGACAGGAGCAGACTACAACGGACAGTCAGGTCTGCAGAAAAGATGATCGGTGCCAACCTGCCCTCCATTTAGGACTTATACATTTCCAGAGTCAGGAAACGGGCAGGAAACATCACTGCAGATCCATCTCACCCCGGACACAGCCTGTTCCAGCTTCTACCCTCTGGAAGGCGCTACAGAGCACTGTACGCCAAAACCAACAGACTTGGGAACAGTTTCTTCACACAAGCCATCACTCTGATGAACAGCTGATTTCTGACTCAGTGTCAGGAACAATTCCTGTGCAATAACCCAGTAACTCTGTCTCTAATCAGCCACCTGTCCACCTGTTTACTGGTTACCACTTATTATATATTAATCAGTCTCTATTTCAAAGCTGTTCATATTCATAATGTGTTTTGTATATACTGTATACCAAATCCACCTACCTCATGTACATAACACCACACATAATATTTTTTTCCAGCGTTCTTTGCACTCATCACACTGTGTGCTTGTATGTGTACCTGTATATCACATCCACCTCCGACATGTACATAAT